TTGTCTACACAATATTAACATAGTGAAAATGAATTACTTTAGATTCACTGAATATTTACTCAACTCATTCCTGTCAGAAACTGCAGAAGGATGTTCCACTAAATCCATCTGTGATCGCAGATGTCTGTACCACAATAACACCTTTGCAGTTTTATGTAGGCCTATTTTGCTATATTGGTAAATTCTTTGTTTAAAGAGGACATCGGATGCCCAAGTTGGTATGATTCTTTGGGGTCTTCATGAAATGTCTATAACATACTTTGGTTAAATTCCTCAATGGTCGTGTAAAACAACACCCTTTTTACCTTGTCCAAATCAGCTCCGTTCACAGCGACCCATTTCGGTGCTTGTCTCTTTAAATGATAATGAGCTACTGCTCACTCCACCTCTCTCTTCTTCTTCTTTTTTTCCCCATCAAAAACAAAACTAATCCACTGCGTCCTCAGTGGCTCTAATGTTGGGAGAGAATGAAGACTCTACGCCTGTTTCGCACCGCAAGCTTGAGCTTCGTGTCAGCGCTTCATCGTCATCGGTGGTTGTGTCCACACACTGCTAAGACACATTTATATGCAAACACCATATAATATGAATTTTGCATCCGATGTCCCCTTTAATATGTATCTATGCTCTTGAGGTGAAGAGGGTAAAGGTGATAAATCTGTAACTCAAGGCTACATGAGCCTCATGTCATGAGGGGCTGCTGGTGCACAATGTCTTCACCATGCAACCTTTCTCATTGTGCTCTACACATATATTTTCTTTGTTTAAAATAAAACTACTTATTTAATCAACTTCTGCCTCAGACTACACTCTGTTTGTCCTACATTGCTATATAAAAATGCAATGAATCACAATGAATCAGTCATTTTTATAATTATAATGAAATGAATCAATTCTTTCTTCTTTTTTTTTTACCAATACAGTATGTATTTGCATGGTTATATTTTGTATCAGTATTGATATTATATAAACACAGTGTAAAGGTTGATCTAGCTGCTTTACTTTTAATCTTCCAGTTTCTTTCACACAAATTATGTTGCTCTACCTATTAAAGAGAAAAACACATTTTACCATGACAAAAAATTATATATATTAAGATTTATATCACATTTTCCTCAAGAGGATTTTTGCACCATTATACCCATCCTTTGTTTTCTGTCATACTGACTATAGTAAAAATACACAGTGTCCAAAATGCCGGCTGAAAGTTTTGCGCATGTGCAGTGCCGTAGAAATGGCGTAATAATAACACATGACGCACAGAACGAGTCGATGTCCCACAAGCGTTGCTTTGTAATCTCATCTGCAGACGTGTGCTTGTCGTCTCCTAACTAGAACCCGAAATAGATACATATTAACTCTGCTTTTTAAAACAAAGAAAAGACAGATGGTTAGTATGCAAAAACAGCGGGAAACTGTACAATTCTTGAGTTACTGTGCGCATGTCAAAAGATTAAATCCGATTTGAAGCTTGTGACATATAAACGCGCACATCAACCCGATCGCTTTATTTAGAGTTCATGTAAAAACAGTATGATTTCATTCCGATTGAAACAAAAAGTGTCCATTTAAACGTGGCTCTTGCCATCACACTTGAATTACTGAAATGGCCAAAAGCATTACAAGGGTGTCAACATATTTTTGGAAACGAGCTTCTCAAATCACCTAAATGATTTGCTGAAACCATTTTGACTGTCTACATCAACTGAGTGAATCTTCAAGAGTTTAATGTATTCATTTTTTATTTATTTATTACTTTTCAGTTAAGTCGAAGTAAGAGGGTAATCCTCCACAATACACTGAGCAAAGTTTCAAGGAGCCTACAGTAGATTCAGTACAGGCTATAATAAAAGTGAAACTATTCTATGCAAAAATAACGACTTTATTCAACAATTCATCTCCAACAATTCGTTGGAGTACAAAAAGTATTCTAGTCGCTTCATGAAATTCAGATTGAACCACTGATGGCAGATGGACTATTTTGACGATGTCTTTCATACTTTTCTGGGCCTTGACAGTGTAATTTACTTGGCAGTCAATGGGACAGTCACAAGCCTCCCGGTTTTCATCCAAAATATCTTAAATTGTGTTCCGAAGACGAACAAAGCTTTTACGGGTTTGGAACGACATGGGGGTAAGTGATTAATGACAAAATTTTCATTTTGGGGTGGAGTAACCCTTTAAACGTTTAATACATACCATATAGACCAGTAAAGCTTAGACTCAACCTGTGTTTTCTTTCTTTTCATCAGGGACTTTCAAAGGCCAGTCAGTGGTTGTAAAAGGATGTGTTTCTAAATCTATTTGTGATGCTGCAACATCAGTTGGTGATGTTCAGGGCGTCTCGTGTTGTTCAGGGAACCTGTGTAACGGTGCTCAGAGCGTCACTCAGAGCTTCCTGTTCCTCTGCTGTTCTCTGCTCTCCTTCATCCTGCTGCACTGAATCCAGCAGCTCTACACATTCTACAATATGACACGCTGTACGATGCAAACTCATCACTTAAAACAAAGTTAGACAAGAAAGTATGGAAACAGGATAACAGAGAATCACAAGACAAATCAGGACACGTGACAATGACAAACTTCAAAATAAAAGACATGAAAACATGAACAAAAAAACCTAAAACAGATGTGACATGGAGAAAACTGGACATAAAAATGTCTAAAATGATATATTATTGAACAAGAAACAGGATAATCCAACATCCAAGCAAATGATTTTCTATGAGAAATGAATTTAAAATTCAAACAAAGAATGCTGAGAAATGCCACTCCTGCTTCTATTTCCCTGAGTTTCATAATCGCTTGTAGGAAGTATTGCTACTTCCTACAAATCATTAGATCTTTCATATTTAAAGTGTCCACTTTTAAATAGACCTGTGTGTTGTAAAAAAAAAAAAGAAATATCTGTGGGGGGAAAAATAGCACTTGTGACATACAACATATAAAGAAAATTTTTAAATAACAGAGGATTATTTTTTGTTTATCCTGATATGCAGTTTCTACAAAAAAAATGCATTGGGCATATTTTATTACACTATTTAAATGAAATATAAATATTTAAATGAAATAAAAATCATGTTAAGCAGAAACATGTCATCAATCTAATACCCATGTGTGTTAACAAACCAACTTAATTACACCTACTCTATTTGTTCCTTAAAAAGACTTATTTCCTGATTCCTAATTTCTACTTCCTGAAGCTGTCATTATCTCATGAAGGCCCGTCCCTTTTTCTAGGATATAAAATGAGCACTGAAACACATTATTTAATTTGTCTCAAAGATGGATGTACAATTCTCAGTTTTTCTTCTGTTCATGTTTTTCACTGCAGGTAAAAAGACAAATCACTTTAATTTCTATTTTATGCGAACATAAATAATTGGATTTCTCTCTCACTATGTCTCTCTTTTATTACTTCAGGACACTCTCTCAAATGTTATGAGTGTGCAGGTTTGTCTTGTGCGGATCAAAATGTGAGAGCATGTCCTGAACCTCACGCATGCTTCAGTTCAACAACTGTAACACAATATGGTAAGTCCAGTGTGATTAACTGAAACTTACTGTTATATTTAAATGATGGGGGTGCAGCAACAGTGGAAATATATGGAGTATATTTAAATACATAATATTTATGATTGCAATCATAGATAATACAGATTCCTGCTACTTAATTAATTTTCAGTCATTTGCTGCAAAAGGCTGTATCTCTAAAGAGGTTTGTGATGCCTCATCATTGCATCCTAGTGGTCAGGGCATCACATGTTGTGTGGGGAACCTGTGTAACAGTGTTAGTGTCAACCAGAGTGTCACCCAGATCAACATCCAGAGCATCACCCAGAGTCCTGACGGTGCTCAGAGCGTCACCCAGAGCTTCCTGTTCCTCTGCTGTTCTCTGCTCTCCTTCATCCTGCTGCACTGAATCCAGCAGCTCTTCACATTCTACAATGATCATGCTGTATCAAATACATGGCTTGCTTTTTCTTTAGTATTCTGATGTGATGAACTGAAAAGTATACAGGAAATTGATGTGTGTGTGTATATATATATATATATATATATATATATACACATACATATACACACGTGTGTGTGTGTGTGTGTGTGTGTGTAATTACATTACCCTAAAGCTTCATGCTTCAAGTCCAAAAGAAAATACAATAAGAAAAGTATTTTAATAATAAAACAATAATAATAATAGTTATATTAATAATACATTTTTATAATAATTTTTTTTTTTTTACATTATAACATTTTATAATAAATCGTTTTGTTATATTACTTTTATTTGTCTACTAAAAAATAATGATCAATAATACTTCATATTTTCCACAGGTAGTATTTTTCAGCTCTCCTTTTTTTTTTTTTTTTACAAAAAAAGTATTTTTGTTCAAATAGGTTGAAACAGCAGCTTAGTAGAGTTGAAACACTCTACTAGCCAACAAGCCAAAAATAACTTATTTCTAATGTTAAAATGTCTTAAAAGATATCTTTCTACAAAAAAAAGAAAAGAAAAAAAACAGCTCTTCAATTGTAACAACTCCCAATATTGGGAGTAATAATATTGGTAGCTGTTACAAAATGTCTATAGAAAGTGACTGCATGACATAACAGCAAGATTTGCTTTCACTGGGATTGCAAACCCATTAATCATAAGGAGGTGTCCACAAACCTTTACACGATGACTGAATCATACAACAAGTTGAGAAATAACTGTAACTGTCAGTCTAATGTTTCAATCATTTTGTTTTTGTACATTTCAGTAAATGAGGTCTAGGTAATCAATAATAATAATAATAATAATAATAATAAAGTTATCATCAATATTTCCGAATAACAAGCAAAGTTTCAAGGAGAATCAGACTTTTTGTGAGCAAACAGAACATAAAAATGTACAAAATAATCTTTTACTGAATATTTAATTAATTTTTATCTCAAATCGGTTGTAAATAAAGAGCTCTCTCTC